AAGCGGATGGTTGGACATCAACAAGGAGATTTCAGAAAAACAGGCCAAATCTCTAGTTCAGTTTTATAGTCTAAGCAAGCAGAGAAAAAAGTAATAAGGCACATGATTTAAAAGAAAAAGGGTATTTCGAGAGGTTTATTGTATCATACCAAACTTTTGCCGTGATGTATCTCCAACCTTCAACACATTATTTAATTTACAATCTGTTAATCCTAGTGAGTTGATCAGTTCTGTGAATGCCAGGAGCTGAAGAGCTTAACAACATTAACTTTCATAGACTCAAAGAAGTGTAAGACTGGAATGGATATTGAGATCATCTAGTCCAGTCTCCTGCACTCAAAGCAGATGTACTAACTAGACTGTACCTGACAGCTGTTTGTCTAACCTGTTTTTAAAAACCAATGACCGATATTTCACAACCTCCTTAGGTAATCTGTTCTAAGGCTCAATTTGTCAGACAGAAAGCGTCTCCTAATTCCAACCTAAACCTCCCTTGCTACGATATGAGCCCGCTGCTGCTTGTCCTACCATCAGAGGTGAACAACAGTGTTTTACCCTCCTCCATGTAACAACCTTTTATGTACTTGAAAACTGGTCTGTCCCTCTTACCTCACAAACTCATTTTTTCAATCTTTTCTCATAAGTCACCTGTAATTATTTTTGTTGCTATCCTTTGGACTTTATCCAATTTGTTCACTTCTTTCCTGAAATGTGGCATCTAGAACTGGACTCCAGCTGAGGCCTAATCAGTGCTGAGTAGAGTGGGAGTATTACTTCTTGTGTCTTGCTTACAAGAGTCCCGCTAATATACCAACAATGTCACACTGGTCAACTCAGTTTTTGTGAACTGGCTGTTCATTCCAACATGGAGTACTTTGCATTTGTCCTCACTAAATTTTATATGTTCATTCCCACATGGAGTACTTTGCATTTGTCCTCACTAAATTTTATACTGTTCACTTCAGACCATTTCTTTAAGTTGTCCAGAATTTTTATCTTATTGACCAAAGCTCTTGCAACCCCTCCTAGCTTGATATCACCCACAAACTTTATAATTGTACTCTCTGCCATTCTCTAAATCACTGATGAAGATGTTAAACAGAACTGGATCCAGGACAAATCCATGCTATTACTTGTCCCCTTATTATCATCTTGATGTTTACAAATTGTATGTTTTGTTATTTACCCATTATCTTTCCAAGTAATGAAACGTATTGGCTGGCCTGTATTCTTATACCCTTGAATTGTGCTGTACCTCTGGCAATAGTAGATTTCTGAAAAGTCACCCATGAGGGTCCAGTAAAGTTTGCAAGGTATCATTGGTCAGGTGCTGAGTTAAGAGTCACAGCCTTACACAGAAGACAAGCTTATGTATCCTTTGTTAGGACTTGGCTATACAAATTGGCACCAATAAAACAGTAGCAGTGACTTGGTTTAGTTCTGGGGGTTTGTTGTTTTAAATATACTACTACTAAAATGCCAAAAAGAAGTGCCAGGAAGATATTTCAATATTGTACTGATTAAAGTTTAGTTTACCTCCTCTGGCTGAGGTAGGACAACAACTGACATTGTCCCAGTGTGAATACGCTGCATTCTTGACGAAAGGCCAGTCTCAGGAATTCGCTGAACTCTGTGAGTCCCTCCTTCATATTTCAAATACTTGTAGACAGAGTCTCCTGAAATATGAGCAGCTGCATGGTGCAATCCACCTTTAAAGACAAATAATGTATAAGAGATATAATCCAAAGGTGCAGCTTTAAGTTAATCTTGTTGGCAGAAAGAACTGAACTGTATCATACCAATCTCAGCTGTTGTGTAGTTCAGAATTTCAAAGGTCCAACATTTGTAATATGCATAATTCTGGTACATCTCAAACATTTCTTTGGTGAACTGCTGGCAAATGTCACCTAAAAATTAAATATTTAGACAACACTACATGAAAAATAAGTTCACAGAATCTTGCCTGAAAGTTACCAGTTTTTAGCATTAGCAGTAACTCTATCTTTGTCGTTGGAGACAGTGCTTTGTTCAAATAATACTAATTTCTAGTAAGTGTCATTTGACATTATTACAATGCAAAAGAAACAACTGAAGTGTTCTAAACCTGGATTGATGTTTGGAGAAATGTTTACTTGTGATGACTTTGCTGACCTCCAGTGGTTCTGCCCGCCGTCACCTCTAAAATAACATCACTTTCATCATGTTTATCCCTTGGCACTATACTCTGGAAAAGCTGAAAAGAATGAAAGAACAACAACAACAAAAATCATTGTCTCCCTTCCTGATCAAGTTTACAGCTTCATCGGTCTATACCAGTGTTTCCCAATTGGTGCGCCACGGAACTCAGCACTCCCCCGTCCTCCTCTTAAAGAGACAGAGCCTTTTTGTAGCGGGACTCAGTGGGTCTTTTTCTTGTATTTTTTGGCTTGACAAATTTTACTCTGGCATATCTAGGGGTTCCTTGAAATTCTTTCGAGCTGAAAAGGTTTCTGTGGCCAAATAAAATTGGGAAACACTGGTCTACACGTACAAACCCCAGACTTGTAAATGCAAATCAGGTAGCTGCGTGTTCAAATTGCCTTGTCAGTGTTGTAGTCAGAGATTGCTAGTACACACAGGTGAGTTTTTGATGTGTTAATCAAGTCTAGCTAAAAATGTGATTCCCACAATACCAAGCATGAGACCACCAACCCCACTGTCTTGTGAACATAGTATTAACCATGAAAGTCAGTTTACATGGACATCGAATCTTCTGAAAAACAAGGTCAATTTCATACCAACAGATTATCTTAATTTTCTAAAATATAGACACTTGATTCACAAAACAACAAAGCATTCCATTGAATTTCTTTCAGATTCTCTTACTACAATTATTTCCACGCACTGGTCTCACTCAACTGAAGAAAATGATAAAGGATTGAAGAGTTCCACGTGGATAAAGCATTTCAAGACACCACTGTACTCTTTCTGCTGCCATGAACGACTGATGGAACCTCATGCCATGGCATAGCGGCTCACTGTTAGAGCCTTTTCAATGATAATCTACAAACAAGCACACATACCAAAAGTGTCTAAAAGAAAGAGCTTCTAAGATTCATTTGCCAGTAGACAGACCGGTTAGAGTGAATATTTCCAGGTCTTTTCCAACAACAAAAAACAAGACGCTAGGCCTTTGTTTCATTAACTGCAGGTGTTACAGTCTGTGTTCAAAAAATCTTGCCTGGAACAATAAAACTGCATGGCTGTATGAAGACATATAAATGAAAATGTCAAGAGATATTAATCTTAAAGACTCAGCACCTTCACCGCTAGCTCACCTTTTTGCAATGTGTGTTGATTTTTTGGTTAATGATTTCCTTTTCTTCTAAGGCAAGTTCTAGCAGCTGCTTCTCATCTCTGCTGTCTAGCTCTAAATTCCAATGATAGATATAAATGTTAATCAATCTTATTTAGTTTAGAGCAAATTGTAATAGAAATGACAAATTACATCCATTACACTAGATAACAGCTTGCATTGCAGGGAATTGCTTTCTCAACATGAGACACCAAACAACAGAAACATAAGAGGATGTCTATTAGTAATTAAATCTTCAAGAGCCCTGGATGGCTTGAGACACTGGAAGTGGGGCTCAGAGGATTTTATCTTTACAACTCTGGTTCAAATCTAGCCAAAGTCAGTAGCAGTTAAAAGTCATTTCCTACAGTTCTCCACTAGCATAAATCAAATAAATTGATAATCTAATTCCTGCTAAAATGATTCACTATTTACACTAACTGGTGAATTTTGGCAGACTCAACAGTGAGGCTACAGACTAAATGGGCAAGGATCCAGAACTATCCCCTTCTTGAGAATGAATGGGGTCCTAATACATCAGGGTTTTTATTTAGGTGTTTGTTTTTAGAAGTAAATGTAAAGTGGATCAACGTTCCTGGAGACCAAACTCCTCTATTTTACCAAAGAAAAGGAAGAGACAGGCAGTGGCAGTCTAAGCTTCCCTACCAATGTATCTCATCTTTGATGTAGAGATACCACTGACACCTAGTCTACACTACACAGTTAAGTCTACCTATGGCAGCTTACATTGACTTAAATATGTCAGTATACACAATAGATTTGCTCCTGCCAAAATTTTCTCTAGTTCCCAAACATAATAACTCTGCCAAGAGGTGAAGGGCTATTTCAGTGTAATTAGAGCAATGCAATGTCTGTCTGTCTTTGGCTCTCATTCTCCAAGTCCTCCCTGCTCTACATTTTGGTGTCTCTCTCTACTATTTACTACCCATTAATGAATTTAGTATGATCAGTGGTTATTTTCCTTACTTAGCATGTGCATTGCCTTACACTGCCTAGTCTAAATTTCACATGCTAGTGTTGCAGTTATCAAATTTAGCTCCTTAGCATTTCTTTGTATTTGAAATTCTTTACCATTTCATCCTAGTCCAAGTAATATTAATAGTAATTGTATCCACAACAATTTCTACTACCTTGCTTTTCACCCCATCTTCCACATCCATCACTCATTATGTTGAAAACCTCTGGGAATAGTTCTGATCATGAGATAAACATTGTTTATTTCACTCCACATAAGAGTTCTCAAATATCTTGAAGGAACTAGTATTTCACACGGTTAAATTGAAGCCTAATAATTCAGGCCCTGGTGTTGAACATCTCCCAAGAGATGTGGGGAGGCAATAATGTAATAGATATCAATGAACCAAACACCAAAATCTAAATTTAAATGGCAACACCAAATTCTGGCATATACTGTAAATCACCTCCCCTTGCCCAAATAAATTAACCTTACCTAAAATATGTCTAAGAAAACTGTCATTAGCCCTGTGAAACATAGGCCGGAGTAGTCTTAAATACAAAGTAATAATAAATACTAGAAGATTTACCCAGCATTGCTTGGGTCCTTAACTGAAATAAGTTTTGTTATTCTTCATTAAAATCATTTCTAGGGGATGGGGCTAGCAATGAGGGGTTCAGTATGCAGGCTGCACCAGTCCAACCTCTTGGGCCAGGTGAGAAGTGCCTCTCCATGGCCACTGCAGCTCCAGTGGGCACAGCTGGGGGAGGGGTGCATGTTCCGTGGTTGGGGAACATACAGACAAGCACACAAATAGACAAACATTCACAAATATATAGTAGTTAGCTGTCCCTTTCTCCACTCCTGCACCCTGCTTGACCAATGGGGTTATATCTGTCTCCCATCGCTGGCCCCTTGATGTTCCCCCCCGTGGTCATTCTGCCAGATCCCTCTCTTTCCATTTTATGAGAAACAATCCAATTCCATGCACATCTGATTATCCTGACCTTGCTCTAAGTTAGAAGAGGAAGCTGCATACCAAATCTGGTGGTCCTAGCTCTTACCATTTAGGAGGACTTCTAGAACAAACAGACTCATGGACGGTCAGATGTACATTTCTAAAATATTTAGTAAAATTAAATTTTACTATTAGAATATTTTAGCTAGAGACAACATTCATGTGACCTTGCAACGTATTTGGGTGAAGTGGAGCTAAAGCAAAATGCAATTGTAGGATCTAGAAAGCTTTAACAGGGACATACATGTGTTTGGATTGCTCCCTGAGTGACTTGTTTCAAATTCTGGGCGAAGAGGCATATCACATCATAAAAAAAACTGCTTTGCATAATCAGATATAGTTTACTTACTTGCACACATGGAATCTATCTCTTGAATTTCTCTTTCTGCCTCTTGTATTTCTTGAAACGTAGCTGCAAGTGTGGATAAATGAGCATGTCTTCTGCTCAGAGTACTTCGATCATGCTCATTCATTGAGCCACCATTTAACAACTGGCCAATCCGCTGGTATTCTTTGTTTAAGGTCTCTAGATATTTTTCCACAGCTTCATGCTTCCACAATACTCTAAAATCTTGATGATAACTCCTTGGCCAATCATTAAATGGCATAGTAGGTTTAACTCTCTTCAATAAATAATTGTGCCTAAAGATAGATAGTTCCATCATGTGACCTGTCCTTTTAACAAGAGGAGGAGAGTAGCGATGGTGATAGCAATGGAAACAATTAGCAAGCAGACTTCTAAAAAGTCCAGTGCTTCGATGAGGTTTCATCTCAGCTTTTACTGTTCATCACCTGAAATTTAAAGCAGATACAATACAGGCCACTTTTTCACTTGCTTTTTTTTTTTTTTTTATAATTAAATGTGTATTTCAAAATGCTAAATAGGTACCAAATCCTGTTCTTAGTCCTGCACCAGTATAAATCTAGTAGCACCATTCCATCATAGATTCAACTAACTCAGATTTAGTTCTGGACTTAAATTTCTCCTCAAGGCTCAGGGCTGCACTGGGGAGAAAGACTTCTCCATGGCCCTGGCATAGAGCTGCCTCTGCCAGGGAAAAGGAGCCACTCTTTGCCGTCACCAGAAGGGAGTCACCCAGGTAAGCCCCACCTCCAACTCCCTATCCTCTTGAGCCCCCCCCAGCCCTGAGCACATTCCTGAACCCCAAAGCCCTAACCTCTGGCCCCACCACAAAGCTCCCACCCCCAGCCGAGCCTGAACCCCCACTTGCATTCCAACCCGGAGCCTGTACACCCCACCCCCACCAAACCTTTCAAATTTAGACTTCATTTAAAGAGATACAAATCCATTGATTTCAACCGAATTTCACTTCTGCCAGGTAATTTGTCCACAATTTTCTAAATTGACTCAATTAACTGCATTATAAAAATATGAAACACTGCTTAAAACAGTCAGAATACCTGATATTCTGAAAAAGCTGAAGTACTCAACAATTCTTTGTAATATGGCTTCACTTGTCTCTCTGGAAATTAAAAAACAAACAAAAGGTTATTTTACTATACCTAAATTGCTGCATGGTTCAGATAAATTGGGTACTGAACTATCTAGAAATAACAACACACACAAGTAATTGTTCCCCTCTTCAACAGACAGTCAGATTAAATTTGGCCCAAAATGTAAATATTTTGAAGCCACATTTTTACAAAACTTATGGCCAATACAGACTTCTATTAACTTCTTTGTTTTTAAAAACGTTAAAAATGTGTTCAATTGAAATTTCATTCTCATACAATGTTTGCAATTGAAACTTTGCAGTTTTATAGTTCATCAGAACCAAAAAGCAAAACAAGTGGTGGAAGAAAAAAAAAAAAAGAGACTGACTAGTCTATTTTCACTGTCCAATCAAAAAAAAAAGACTGACTAGTCTATTTTCACTGTCCAATCAGAGATTAAATCAAAAACAAAGCAAGAATCAGATTTTAAAATAGCTTTCAGTTTTAGTAATTAAAGGGACTATTAATAACAAATAATGTAATTGCTAAAAATATTAGTTTTAACTAGACTGTTTCATTTAAAGGTTCATTTAGTTAATTTACTTTAACTTAAAAAAAACCTTTACAAGGCTTTAGGCGCCCTAACACACTATTGACAATACAATTAAATTTCAGCAGCTTTACAGTGA